TATGGTTGCAACAAAAGCGGCAATTGATGCGAGCCCAAGATTTTTATACAAGATCACTAAGGCCAAAACAACCTGCAAAATCACTATCCATGGATCGTGTATATACCAGCTAAAGTCACCCACCCTCTCTGCATCAACTGCCATGAAATTAATGATCTCTCCACTGGTGTGACCCTACTTCGATTGGCACGAGAGAGTCAAACCCTTATTGTAGATCACTGCAACTAGTACTGAACGTGTCCTAATCAAACCTTATGCAACCTAAAGAACCAATGCCTTTGGCAGAGGCACTCTACAAGCTTTGCAACAAAGAATGTTGCAACCAAAACATACCCCTCATTTTTATTTTCTCTATGCCCAATAAGGTACTGAACAAAAGAGTCAATAAGATAAGCGCCGACATACGAAGCTATTGTGTATACAAATGCAAATAAAGCTGTCAAAAGAATGTCTTTCCAAGCTGAAAAGAAAAGAGCTTTGACCAGCCTAAATGCAGTCAAGCTTCTCCCAGTACCACTATCCGACTCAAGATTATCCCTAAAAACTGGAAATGCCCCAACTACACTATCACTACTATCAAGTTGAGGAACATCCTCAAGGTCGAAAGTCTTCTTATTCCCAAAAGCAATCAGGGAACCCATCCAAGAGAAAGACAGGATATTGAAAAAGCCGGCATTCGAGTAAGGAGTGACAGCATCACCTCCTTTTGATTTGTTTGATCCTACACAAGTAACTATCCTAGAACTGCCATCCAGAAGGGGCTTCTCAAGAAGGGCATCGTCCCCCTTAATTTTCCTCAAGAAACCCACATAAGAAAGAAACAACCCGGTAAAAACAGAGACTACATCAGATACTAAACATTGTTTAGGTAATGCCATGTGCTTTTTGTAAAGGACAATGTCTACTCCAAGGCAATAGCGAGAGATAGAAAAATGAAAAGCCCACCAGGCCCTTAACCACAATGGGAACTTGCATTCGCCAGAAATATAAAACTTGATGTACAAGTAGGCAGAAATTGTCCCCCAAGCAATTGCTCTAAGCAGAAAATCGAAAAGGGTAACCGCCCTATCATCCGACCAGCCATTCATGTACCAGTAATTGTAACTCCACAAGCAAAAGACAAGATTAAATGCAGAGAAGCCCCAGCAACAAATCAGAGTCTGTTTATACCACAAAACCCGTCTGAGCTTAAACGCCTCTTTTGAATCCTCACCATCATCCACTCTCAGTTTCTTGCTGACTCACAAAACTAATAATACTACTAACAAAATCAAGTATAAGGAACCAGAAAATCCGTGTAGAAAAATGGGTTGGAGGAGAAAGGTGCACTTGCATTCATGACTGAACCTAGGTGGAAGAAGAAGGTTTCTAACGTGTCATGCCTTGTTATCGAATTAAGAAGCTCCGTGTTCTGTGTTTTGTTCAGCTGTTCCGCGAAATTGGTGTGCAAAGAGTTGATTGTTTTATTAAGTAGATAGAGACTGTTTGTGAATACTTCTATGTGTACGTATGTGAATATATATGCCAAGAGGATGTGATGGAGTCCAAAGAAGAGGGAGGATGATTTCCCTTGGACGTAAGACAAAAAAAGTTGGCGCATTTCCT